GGAAGGGGAGGAGAAGTAGCTCGAGTAGTACCACAGCTTCTCAGCACAAAGCTGTCGATGACTCTCTCTTTCAAGGATTTCTTTAAAAAAAACAAGCCAATGGCGAATTGGATTGCCCGGCTTACATTACCTCATTCTCGCTATCGAAACAAGTGAATGACTGTTTTTCTTGCTGACGGGCTGGAACTCGCGGCCATCATGAGTGTAGCACTCCATACCCGTCCAGCGAGTAAAAAGTATAATCGATGCAATTAATCTTTTTTTTTTTGCTGATCCACCTTTTTATTGATTGCAGGTTCGGCTTCTGAATGGAGGAGCATTTGAGGGTATGACCGAACGTGTTGAAGTGCATGGTCACTCAGCGAACTGGAACAGTCATTTCAGCTTCTCGTGCCGCATTGCTGTTGATCCTTCAACGGGCGTTCTCGAAAAATGTGCTTGTAGAATATCACTTCGGAAGGTATTGCCATCATATCACTATCTTGCATAAATTCCATAATCCCCGGTATTGCAGGCAGCTCCGTTTATTGCTTTTGAGAAAAGCTGTGTCTCTTTTTTGTAAGGTTTTTTTCCTCTGGATAAAGCAGTCGGGATGTACTTGTTTGGATCACCCAGTTTGGCTCTTCAGCTGTCTCTTCAGATGACAGATTCTCCAGTTAGCATAGCCAGTGGTGCATCTCAGTGTTGTGAGCTGCTTGCTTCTGGTCCTGATGCTCGTTTCGTTCCCTGAAACGTATATAAAGGGCTGCGAAATGCCCTCGGTTTTTTTGAATAACATCATTTCCTGATCAGTACCACTTCTAGACCACAATGAGTCGTCTTACTAATTATACATTTTTCTCAGATAAGTGATTGACTTTTAGTTTTTCTTAGCAAACATTTGTCGCGCTGTGCCACTGGTATTTATACGTAATTACTGTGGCTGAAGCAATTTTTTAAGGAATTCGGCGTTCATTTCTTACAAAATCTGCTAGTTCAAAAATCGAACCAATTATTTCTTACCAATAAATTTAGCGAGCAGGCATGGGGCAGTGGAGTAGCACTGTTGTCGTGCAATAGGTCGAAGATTGGACCCCGCCGATGGGGCTGTCAATCCCCCTTCGATTCGCTTTGATGGTAAATCGGTAACTGGCATATGCCAGGAAATCAAACCCATCTTGCTTTTAAGCAACCCTTAGAAGAAGGAAACATCGGCAGTCCTGTTAGCATTTGTGACTACTTGGACAACTTCCCGAGTGCGTCCACCTCTCACTGAGAGCTAGATGCGGAGGGAGTCTTGACTTTGACAATAAATTTGGAACCCCGGAACACCAGTTCAGATTGCCAAATGACGTTCTTCCGCCCTAATCTCCCTCCCACCTCTCTACTTCCACCTTTCCTCCTCTCGCTTTGTCCCGTGCCGTCTAATGCTGCAAGAAATTTCATGCTTCAGCGTCAACTATACGCATCTTCCGTTTAAAAAATTGCCTGACCATTTTAAAGCTTAGTTCTTTTACTTTGTATATTCACTGAATATTGCATGGGAGATGCTCAGTTTTAGCGATTTGCAGGAGCAAAAAGGTGGAAAGTCGTTCTCGAAGCTCGGCTTCGTAGACATAAATTTGGCGCAGTTTGCTGCATCAGGT